AGGATGGCTTGGGGCAAGGCTGGGGAGGCAAAGTGCAATTAGCAGGAGTAGGTGGAAATAGGGGCTGGCTTCTATGTGTCTGAAGATCCAGGTACCCCAGGCAATGCTCAGGGCTTCCCACTGGAGCAGAAAGGGTGGAAGAGCCTGGGGAGGAGCAGGAGAGGGGGTTCTGAGTTGGGGGCAGCGAGCCTTGAAGCAGTTAAAGGTGGAAAAGTGCAAGAGGTTTTGCTGTGGCAGGGGTGTGCTGAGAGTAGCTGGAAGGGATGAAAACTGCAAGCTTTGGAAAAAAACCCAAATGCTTTAAGACAATCTTGTGAATTTTCAGGACATCTGGCTTGCATGTTTTGCAGCCCCATCTCAGGGCTTAGCTATGCACAGAGCCTGCTACGGGGAGCAGGGGTGATCTGACCTGCCTGAGCCCCTTCTCCGCTGCTCTCTCCTCCAGCTGCCCCTCACTTTCCCGAGCCCCTGGGGGATGTGGCAGTGGAGGTCGGGGACAGCGTGACCCTGCTGTGCCGCGTCGAGGGCTCTCCCCCGCCAGAGGTCACCTGGTCCCGGCAGGACGGGAAGCCTGTGCCACGCTGGCATGTGCCACGGGGTGTTCCCAGCCAGCCAGAGGCTGCCGAGCTCCTCATCGACAGTAAGAGCCGAGGGAGTGCTGGTGAGGTGGGGAGCACGCGTGGGTATCCCACCCGGTGCTGGCTTACAGCATCACCCTCAGGTGCTCTCTGCCTGCCTGCTGCGGGCTGGTGTCCCAGCAGTGGCATTAGCCCCGGTGCCCCCTCTCCTTTTTAGTAGTAAAGCCTTGGCACGGTGGGTTTATTTGTTTGTACGAGCTTAGCTGTGCTCTTGGGTGCTCTCTGCCTGCCTGCTGCAGGCTGGTGTCCCAGCGGTGGCATTAGCCCCAGTGCCCCCTCTCCTTCTTAGTAGTAAAGCCTTGGCACAGTGGGTTTATTTGTGCTCTTTGTTTGTACGAGCTTAGCTGTGCTCTAACAGCCCGTGAGCCTCCAGGCTGCGGGGTCTGACCCCCTCTGGGGTGGTGATGGAGCAGGGAGGGTGGTGTTAGCCCATCCTGGAGCTTGCTGGAGGCTCTCCAGCCCCACCAGGCTCAGGTTTCTCCTCGCCGTGCTCCAGGCGCCTCTCTGGACGACCAAGCTGTCTACATCTGCGAAGCCCAGAACGAGTTTGGGAGAATCCAGGCAGAGGTCAAGCTCACGGTCACCGGACACGGTTTGCTTCTCTGGGTTTTTGTTGGTGTGCCAACGGGGGCTGCTGCTGGCCCTGGCTGTGCTGGTGCTGAGTGAGCAGCAAAAAAAACCGGGTGGTTGGGTGGTGCTGTGTGGCCGCCAGCCGCCTCTGCTCCGGAGCCAGCTGCAGGGAATGCTCAGCAAACCCTCCCCCAGCCTGGGGTTTGGGTTGTGCCCTTCCACCCCTCTTCCACCTCAAGCACAGACACATGCTTGAACCCATAGTGTAGCTGAAGGTCCCCAAATTCTTGGGGCAGCTGAATGTTGGAGTTGGCTTGTGCCGAGCCAAGGTCCAGAGCTTGGAAGAAAGTTGATCCAGTTCTGTCCTCGTAAGCATTCACCATCAGTTTATCTCCGATTAATAGCGTTTTCTCTTTTCCCTCTTTCAAGCAGCCCCAGAACTAGCTCTGGCATCCCCTGTGGTGCGTGTGCTCCCTGGCCAGCCCGTGTCACTGCCCTGCGTGGTCCTGGCCGGGCGGCCGTTCCCAGCCCGCCGCTGGCTGAAGGATGGGCAGCTGGTGAGGCTTCTGCTTGCACCAGGGTGCTGGGTGGGTGGATAGGCAGCTGGGAGCACGTCCCTGTGGCAGGATGGATGCCCCCAACCTCCTGTGGCCAAAGCTCTTGGTGAAAAGATGCCAATAGAGAGTCCAGATTGGGAGAGTCACGTGCGTTTATCACACCAGGATGTTCCTGCTGCTCAAGGATCAGTTTCTAGATATGCCCCAAAGACACAGTAATATGGGAGTGTTTGACATTCTTGTCTGTCCTGCTCTCTGCCTGTGCCCAGGTAGCCCCGGGCAGCCGCTACTCCATCCGTGCTGACGGGAGCCTGCACGTGGAGCAGGCCCTGCAGGAGGACGTGGGCAGGTACACCTGCGAGGTGACCAACGCCCTCGGCTCACACCAGCAGGATGTGTCCCTGCTCATCCATGGTGAGCAGCAGGGTGCTGAGCATCCCTGCTCTCTGAACGGGGCTGGGTGTCCTCTGCACCTCTCAAACACCAAAGCACTGCTCCCTTTGGTGGATGTGGCCCTGGCTGTGCAGGGTGAGGTGCTTCTCCTCCTTCCCAGTTCCTCCTAGCATTGAGCCTGGCCCTGTCCTCATTACTGCCACTGAGGGATTGGCTGTTGCCCTGCAGTGCAATGCCACCGGTGTGCCCCTGCCCACCATCACCTGGGCAAAGGTAGGTGTTGGGGCCGGGCAGGCTGCTATCCTCTGCCAGCCAGGCTGTGGGTCCCTCTCGGGTGGGGGATAACGTGTTTGGAGGGGGTGTTGCTCACCAGCGTGGCTGCAGCTGCCTGAGGAGGTGGCACCCAGTGCCCTGGGAGGCCAGGATCAAGAGGGAGCTGGCTCTGAGTTCAGAGCCTATTTCCTGCCCCTGGGATGCTCAGCTCGTTGGAGGGTCTCTACTGTCTCCCTTCCATTTCCTCTGCAGGGCACGGAGCCCATTTTGCCAAGCCCACACTACCACCTAGACCCCGATGGGACCCTCCTGATCCCGTCGCCCTCTCCTGAGGATGCTGGGACCTACTTCTGCACGGCTACCAACACAGCAGGCTTCTCCAGCCAGGAGATGCAGCTCTCTGTCAGCAGTGAGTGCCCGGGGCTGGCCCCAGCACCAGCCCCCAGTAAAGCAGCTCCGGAGGGTAACTGGCTGGGAAAGCATGACTTGGTGACTCTGACAGCTTCCTCGGGCCACCCAGCAAGATGCCCGAGGAGTTTTTGGGATGGGAAGAGCAGCAGTGAGGGCTGTGGGACACCTGAAGTGTTCCTGCACCAGCTGCTTTCCCTCTCCCTCCAGCAAAGCCCAGGATCAGCGTGAACGGGTCACGGGCATCGGAGCCCATCAGCATCCTGGCCCTGCCTGGGCAGGAGACCACCCTGCCCTGTGAGGTTCAAGGCCATCCCCCTCCCTTGGTGGTGTGGACCCAGGAGTCCCAGCCTCTGCTGCTCACCACTGACCGGTGAGAAGGGCTGTGGGTGCTGGGGCTGTGCTCTCTTGGTGCTGGGTCTCCCCCAAGGGCTGTTGGGTCTCTGAGGAGGTGCAAAGGGCATCGCTGGTGCTGAGCAGCAGATGCTCAGTGCTCGGGCAGCAGCAGAGGCAGCTGAGCAGTAGTGTCTGTGCAGCTCCTCAAGATGAGCAGAGCAGGAACCAACAGGCTTTTTTTTCCCACCACCCAAACATGTGCTAGGGTGGAGTAGCTGCCCCCAGCCCTCTGCACCCTCACCCTGGGCACGGGCCAGTGCTGGGGAGGGAAGGTGGCCCCAGCACAGCTCCCTGGCCCCACTTGCCCAGCACATTCCTGCCCCATGCCAGGGCCAGGGATGTGCTTGGGGGTGGTGGATCTCTGCAGGAGGTGCTGGACCAGGGCTTGGCACTGCCCCATGCCCAGCTGGCTGCAGGGCACTGAGAAGGAGGAGGTTTGAGGGCTGGAGGAAGAGGAAGGCAGCATGGAGAGGAAGATGGGCAGCTGGGGATGCCTGGGGTGCTGCAGCCTCTGCTGCCCCTCGCAGCCCGTGTGTTGGGGTGACTTCACGTTGGTTTAGGCATCAAAATGTTCCTGGGTTAAGGTTTGGCAAAAACATAGTTGTGAGCCCAGCAGTGGCTTTGTCTGCATTGCAACGTGGTTTAAAGGCCAGTTTGGCTCCAGTGGGTGATTTCTGGAGGACCAGATAGATTTGTTGATGGTGTTGAGGCTGATGGGAGCTATGGGACAGTCATTTAACGTTGTTTGATGAGAGAAGATAACCTGGAAAGTGCTTGGGTATGTGTTTGTCTTGGTCTTCCCCCTTTCAGTAAATCAGCACCATGCTGGAAGGGGCTTCCTAAAATCATGGGCCCCAATCTTGGATCTGGTCCTTGCTTTCCCTGCACCTCAGGATTGCTGTGGCCTGGGGAAGCAGGATGGTGTCTTGGTTTTGCTCTTCTTGATGGCCTTGTCACTCTTGTCTGGTTTTCTGTGGCTGCTCCTGGGTGACCTGTGCTGCTCCCCACATCTCAGCTGGCTTGTCCTGACGTGCCCGAGTGATTGATGGGAGCACACGAGGAGGAATCTGCAGCCGTGGGCTGAGATGATGTTATGTCTGTGGAGCACAGACAGTGCTGGGAGAGAGCACGGCCAGCTCCAGCTGCAGGGGCTGTGCTCCATGGGGACTCCTGTCTCCCTTCACCCCCTGGAGGGGTGGATCATGTGCTGAGCTCGTGCAGGAGCTGAGCAAAGGGGATTTGCACCCACGGACAGCTCTGCCGTCCTCCTCGTGCAGGACCTGGGGAGCTTCTCTTGACTGTCTCAAGGGGATGGTGACCTCCCAGCCCTTAGCTCCTGCCCAGGGGTCGGTGATGGAGGACATGGCTGTTCCTCCCATCCAGCTCTTCTGTACCCTCTCCCCTAAGCTACAGCATCCTCCCTTCGGGGTCCCTCCGGCTGACTGACCCCCAGGTGACTGACACCGGCCGCTACACCTGCACGGCCACGAACGCCGTGGGGAACACCTCGCTCAGCTACAACCTGCACGTCCAAGGTTCACATCTGCTGGTTAAAATGCTCCTCCCTTGGGCCGTGTGTGCAGCCAGAGCCCTGCACCTTCTGAGCCCTCGGCTGCTCCTACATCCCAGTGCTGGGGTCCAGGGGTGGTCCCAGCCTGAGGTCCCCTTCCCCCTCAGCTCCCCCCCAGCTGCTGATCGGTGATGGAGAAAGCCACCTGACGGCTGTGGCCAACGACTCCCTGAGGATTCAGTGCCATGCCACGGGCACCCCCACACCCCAGATCCAGTGAGTACTGCAGAGAAGGACAGGCAGACCCTGCCCAAGTTGCCCTGAGCTCCCTTAAGGGCTGTGTGACTCCCTGGGGGTGCTCTGCAGCCCAGCATGCAAAGCTGTGGCAGAGATCAGGATGAGACCTCGGAATGGGTGATGGCTTGGGGTGTCCTTTAGGGTGGGAAGCATCCATTCCTGATCCTTGCCTCTGGGCTTCTGCTCTGCCCAATGATCTGGGCACTGCTAGCCCCGTTTCAGGTGACAAAGGGGCAGTCCTTGCTGCCAGCACCTCACTGTTCAGTGATTTGGGGGGCAGAAAGAAGGGTGGGTGGTGGCAGGTCAGACCAAGGACCTGTCAGCTGTCCCTCCCTCCCAGGTGGCTGAAGGACGGGCGTCCCCTGGGCGAGCAGGACGGGGCTGTGGTGTCCGAGGGCGGTGGGACTCTGCTGATTGCCCGCGTGGGGCTCGCTCACGAGGGGCTCTACACCTGCCAGGACAGCAACTGGGCTGGCGTGGCCCAGGCAGAGGTGCAGGTTTCGGTGCAAGGTGAGCTCGGCATCTGAGGTGAGACTTGCTATCCACCCCCTGTGACTGGCCAAAGGGGTGGGTGTTCTTGGCCCTGCTTTTTGGGAGGTGTGGGGTCACTAATGTGATCTGTTGGGATCTTGCCCTTTGGCAATGAGGTTGAGAGCTGCTGGCCACTGATGCTTTGTTAAATCATTAGCATCCTTGAGGGGTGCTCCCCGGTGGAGGGTCTGCCCTCGGCCTCATTGCCCCTATGGCCAGAGCACCCCTCAGTTGGCATCACAGGATGGGATGCTGAGGGTGCTGGGTGAGAAACCAGGCAGGGTGCAGAGATCCCTGCCCAGGCAGGATGAGTATCTCGCTGGGGCAAGGAACAAATCTGCTGGCTAACCTGGGGAGCAGCGGTGGCACAGTGTGGTGACATGGTGCCCTCCCAGAGTGGGGGGCCAGTCCTGGCCCCTGGGTGCTGCTCTTGGGATTCGGTGCATGCCAAGAGCCCCTGGCTGTGCCCATGGCACCGTGCTGAGCAGCTGCAGCCACCCTGGGCCACGCAGAGCCAGTGACTGTGTGCTGGGTTGCAGTGCCCCCGAACATCGAGCCCAGCGCCGTGGAGCTGGCTGTGCTGGAGAATGGCACCGTGTCCCTGGAGTGCCTGGCCTCGGGGCTGCCAGCTCCCGGTGAGGCCATCCTCCCCACCCCTTCTTGTTTATGTGCCCTTGGGGCTTTCCCTGGGTCCTCCTGGGGAGAGGAGCAGCAGCGTCGCTCCTCACAGCTCAGCTCCCTGCTTCCCTCCAGACATCGTCTGGTACAAGGGGCACGAGCAGCTGGTGGCTGGACCTGGCCAAGCCCTGTCCCAGGATGGGAAGCTGCTGGAGATCCAGCATGCCCAGCTCTCCCACGCTGGCACCTATCGCTGCGTGGCCTCCAACGTGGCTGGTGTCACAGAGCTCTGGTACAGTCTGCAGGTGACTGGTGAGTCCACGGGGTGCAGCTACCTGAGAGCTGGGGGCTTACCCCTGGGATCTCTCATCTGTGCATGGGACCAATGGGGCTGTCCCAGCCCTCGGGATGTGTCTCTGGAAGATGGCTTTAGCAGAGCCCCTCTCTTCGGTCCTAGTTGCAATCCCAGCCATGTAATCCCCTGTTTTCATCCCAAATAACGCCCTAGAAAGCCACAGGCTACCCATGGATGGTCATTGCCTGCTCCACACCATGGTGTCTCTTGCCTACCCCAGTCCCTTTTGCACCCTGCTGCTCCTGGTGACATTTCCCTGCTCTCCTCAGTGCCCCCACGAATCACAGCTGGCCCCAGCCCCCTCACCGTGGTGGTGAATGAGCGGGTGACACTGGAGTGTGATGCCACAGGGACCCCAGCCCCGGTGCTGCTGTGGCTGAAGGATGGCAATCCAGTGTCCAGCATGGTGGCGAGTGGCCTGCAGGTGAGACAGCTTCTGATGGAGGGAGTCTCTTGGGGATGTCCCTCTAGGAAGGTGTTATTTTTCCTTTTTCTGGCTTTTAAAAACAGCAATTGCTGCAGTTGAGTGGTTGCAGTGTTGCCCAGGCCTGCCCCACGTTTGGTCCATGGGAGCATGGACCTGCCCAGCCCTGCGCTGGGCTTTCCTGGCATGGATGGGCAGGGGGTCCCCAGGATGTGAAGAGGGTGGGCTCAAGGGAGGCTTATGTCCACCCATCCCTGCTCCTGCATGCCAAGCTGCCGCCCAGCTGCCTGGGGGTTTCTCTGGTTTCCTGCTCACCTGGGCTCTTCCTGGGTCTCGGAGAAATGCAGATCCTCTCCGGGGGGCACGTGCTGTCCCTGCCCACCGCTCGCCTCCGTGACTCGGGGACGTACACCTGTGTGGCCAGCAGTGCTGTGGGGGAGGACAGACGTGAGGCCACCCTCCAGGTGCGCTGTAAGTACCCCCGTGCATCCCTGGTCCCTCCCCACCAGCACGGCTGTGGGGTGGGAAATGATGCTCGGGACTGGGGCTGCTCCACTGGCCCCTTCAAAGCACACAGGGCTCTGGGCAACCAGCCCTGGCAGGGGTAACAAAGGGGGTAGCCTGGGGAAGGTGTTGCCTTGTTGATCTGTTTTCCAGTGTCCTCCACTGCCCTGGGTGAAGAAGAGAACATCTCTGTCATCGTCAACCAGTCGGTGACCCTGGAGTGCCTGACTCCCGGGGTCCCCCCTCAGGAGTCCCACTGGCTGAAGGATGGGAACTTGCTCACACCAAGGCCAGATGTGCAGCTGTCTGTGGAGGGGACCGTGCTCCAGGTGACATTTTGGAGTATTGCAGAGGATGGGAGGGGAAACAGGGCTCTGAAGATGCCCACCTCCCCCTCCTCACCCTTAGAGAAAGTGGGTGCAGAGGGAGAGTGTGCCCTCCCTGCTGCCCACGGCTCAGCACCATTCCCACCCCTCACGCTGATCCCATTCCTGTGGCTTCTGCTGGCATAAAATCCACCCCCAGGATGGGCTGTGTGTGTCCAGCTCTGCTGCAGGGTGTCTCAGTGTCTCTGCTTGCCCTGGCAGATCGGGCGAGCCGCCGTGCAGGACGCGGGCAGGTACACGTGCCAGGCACCCGGCCACCAGAGACACTACAACCTCGACGTGTGGGGTAAGGGCCACTGCCCCTGGAACAGCCCCCAGGGGCAAACACCCTCTGTGTGTACACACACCTATGTACCATGTTATATACTATCTGTTTATATGTGTAATATGCATCTGGGGCGGTTGCTTGGCTTGGAAAACACTAAGCCCAGAATATTACAGCTCTGCAAGTCGTTGGAGCTGGAGGTGGCAGGGAATCCCCCCCAGGGCAGCTGTCAGAAGGGGGAAAGCCAACATCTGCATGGGTCCTGGGGGCAGATTTCAGGGAAGATGCAGAGGAGGTGGCTTTCCAGAAGGAGGGCAGGAGAGCAGGGGGATTCCCTTGCCAGTGCCAGGGCTTCTCTGCCCGTTCTTTGCACTGGGGCAGCGTGGTGGTCGCTGCAGGTATCGTCTCCCTTCTCTCTCCCTGCTGCAGTCAGCAGCACCAGCAGCTTTCACTCACTTGACTTGAGCATCCTTGCAGCCTCCCGGCCTGACCAGCACGTCCACAGTGCCGGGGGCTGAGCCAGGGTCTGGCTTTTCTCAGGGATGCTCTAGGCCAGTTGGTGGAAGTCCTGCAGGCAGGTAGCCAGGGAGTGGAGAAAATCCAGTTCTCCTGCTCCGGGCTTGTTCCTGCGATCCCTTCCCAGGGAAACATTTGCACGTCTGGTGTCCTGGCTCGAGCGGATTGTTTGGGTCCCACTGTTTTTGTTTTTCAAGGGTTTCTGGGTGTTGGGTTTTTTCTTGTACAAATTGATATCCCTCATGGGAAGGAGTTACCGTTTTCCAGCCAGCTGCACTTATGAGAATATAAGAGCATCTGATAATGGAAAGAGTTAGGTAACCTTCCCAGTGAGCAGTGCTACCTAATAAGGCTGTGTCTGGCCAACCTGGGCTTGGCCTGCCTGTGTGGCTGGCGCAGGGTGCTTGGTCATCCTCTGCTGTAGGCCACGTGCAGTTAAAAGCATCACTCGCTCAGGAGCTGGAGAGTCAAGATTATTATTTCCACATGGAGCCAGTGCAGGGGATTCTTGCTGGTTCTTTGTGCAGAACCCAGCAGAGCTGTGGGTGGTGCATGTCCAGGGGGTCGGAGCTCCAGTGGGGAGCTGCCCCTCTCCTCTTCTCTGGTGCCATCAGTGAGCTGTTCCTTGCTCTTGTCCCTTGCAGTGCCCCCGTCCTTCTCCTCGGCAGAGCCCACCACTGTGTCCGTGCTGGAGGGACAACCTGTCAGGCTGACCTGCGAGTGCCATGGGATCCCCCTGCCCACCCTGAGCTGGTGGAAGGATGGTAAGATCCTGCTCCTCAGCCTCATCCCTCCCCACACGTGATAGGTGTGGTCTCCTTGGAGCAAGGAGTGCTTAATGTTGAGCGGTATCCAGCTTCTGGGTGGGACCTGGTCCTGCTGGGAACCTGAGAGGAAGCTGCTGGCCCCTTTCCCGTGCAGGTGAGCCCCTCTCCACCCAGCCCGGGAGCCTGAAGCAGGTGTCCACGGGAGGAGGCGTGCTGTACATCGAGAAGGTACGGCTGGTGGACGAGGGGATGTACACCTGTGAGTGCAGGAATTCCATTGGCAGCAGCAGCAAGGAGCAGCGCCTGGAGGTGCACGGTGAGCTGGGGTCCAGCGACACGGGGCAGCTGTACGGGTGGCTGAAGGTGCTGTCATCTCTCTCAACACAAGGTCCAGCTGGACCCAAGAGCTGGCAGCCGTTGCCTGCTGCCTTGGGTGTGTTGGGAAGGATGCTGCTAGCTGGGGACTCACCCTTGCTTCACCCTCCTGCTGCCACCATCCAGACCGAGTGTTTGGGCACCCACTCGATCGTGGGTGAGGGGGTGGCTGCAGCACCTCCTCCAGCCTGTGCCCCTCTGCCCGCAGCGCTGCCGAGGACCCGGGGCAGCAGCCACGTCCCGAGGAAGGTCTCTGTCATCAGGGCTGGCGAGACGGTTTTGGAGTGCGAGGCCACAGGTTCCCCCCCTCCCAGGGTGACGTGGGTGAAGGACGGGCAGCCCGTGGCTGCTGGGGACGGGCTCCTGCTGAGGGAGCGAGGGCGGCGGCTGCACATCCCCAGGGCAGAGGTGACCCACACGGGACGCTACACTTGCCTGGTGGAAAACGTGGTGGGGCAGGAGCAGAAGGACTTTGATGTCGTGGTGCACGGTAAGGGTGTGGGATGGGGCTGCTGGCTGTGGGGTATGGAGGAGCTCAGGGCGTGGTGATGTTGCACAGCATGTTTGATGCAGCACGAGCACGGAGCATGAACTGATGTGAAGTAGATCTTGGACAATCTAGTGTGTAGGTCTTGAGTCAGAAGGGGCATGCTCCAGGCATAGCTGTAGAACTGGCTCCATCAGGCAAGAGTTTCTTTCTAAGGTCATCAGAGCACATCATCTCACTTCATAAAGTTATCTACTTTGCAAAGGCTTGGGGAAGCCTCATGGGTCAAGATACCAAGTACCTGAGCTGAAAAAGGCCTGAGGTAGCTCAGTGCATGGCCAGCTTGGTGTCACATCTGCAAGTGTGGGCTTGGACATGCAGGTAAGTGGCATATGCTTTCTGTGGATCACCTGTCCCATAACGCCTCCAAAGTGGACAACTTCAGATGATGCTAATGGTCCTTCTGGGAGTTTGTCCTCAAACTGTATGAAGCAAGAGGGCAGGACCAAGCTGGGTTTACTCCATTTTCCTCCTTTGTCTTACTTTGCTGTCTTGGCTGCTTTGCAAATGGATGCCCATCCTTTTCTGCATCCCTAGTTCCTCCTGAGTTCGTTCAAGGATCAGGATCAACAACCAACGTCAGCGTCTCTCTGCAAGGATCCATGACACTGACCTGTGAGGCCACTGGCATTCCCCTGCCCACAGTCACCTGGTCCTGGGATGGCTCTCCTGTCACCCCCAGCGAGCACATCCAAGTGCTTTCAGGTCAGGGATGAGGCATGGAAGCTGTGGGAGGTGGGGGCTTTGCCAACATGTCTTGCCTCAGCACTGATGGGTGTAAATGCAGTGGAGCTCCAGCCCTGCAGGAGCAGTGCTGGGACAGGCTGGTGCCTGGATCAGGGCCCTGAGGCCTCTCTGCTCTGTGCTTCCAGGGGGCTGGATGTTGAGGCTTACCCGTGCACAAGCCCAGGATGGTGGCCACTATTCCTGCCTGGCCAGTAACGTAGCTGGGGAGGCCAGGAGGCATTTCTACGTGGAGGTCCTAGGTAAGGAGGAGTCCTTCATCTGCTGCAGCATTCCTGGTGGGATATCAGAGCTTCATGCTTGCAGGAACAGGCGTGAGTTAAGACTGAGCATGGCAGGAGCTGCAGTGCCAGTGTCCTTTGTGCTTTAGCGTGTGAGCTCAGAGACTCAGCAAAGCTGAGGTCCCTGGTGGCTTGTGTTCCTAGTTCCTCCCTACATCGAGAACGTGGATGAAGAAGAGACCATCAAGGTGCCTGAGGGTCACCCTGTCACCTGGTCCTGCCTGGCTGCAGGTGAGCATCATGTGGGGAGCAGAGGTGGCGTGACCAGGTGGGAGATGGGGCTCAGGGGTCTGAGTCTGAGGGGTCTTTAGTGCATGGGATAAATGGGCAGCGCCAGTCCATGACATGAAAACAGCTGAAATTGGCTGAAGCACTTTTCTGGGGATAGTTCCTGGCTCTGCAGTTGTGCTGTCCGGGAAGCGCTGGCCCACGCAGGGAGCTTGTTCCACAACGTCATCTCCAGTCTTTCCCAAATGGAGCTGGAATTCCTCTAATCTCAATTCTCCTTTAGTGATGGGAATAATTAATCACCTCCTACTCAGGACAGTTTTCTTTCTTCTTGCTGGCTCATCCAGCAGCCTCTAAAAGGCTGATCCAGATGATGATAACTCTGGATTTGGGCTGAGGTCCCTGCTGCTCGGAAACAGGATGTGCTCACACATGGAAAAACTGCACAGAGACTCAACCTGCTTTCCACCCCCAAAGGCAACCCCCACCCTAAGGTCACCTGGATGAAAGACGGCCACCCGCTGCCCACTGGAGACACCTCCTCCATCTCCCCTGATGGCTCTGTGCTGCACATCCCCCAGGCCTCCCTCTCTGATGCTGGAAGCTACTCCTGCATGGCCTCCAACTCCGTGGGAAATCAAACCAAGTACTACCTGCTAGATGTCTTGGGTACGAGATACCTTTGGACAGAGGCAGAGCCTCAAGTGTGAGCAGGGGATGTGGACTTAGAGGGCTTTTTAATTGCATGGCCCAGGTAGGTGGTGAGGATCTATTAGTCCTACAGCAGCAGCATGGATAGTGTCCTGGACTTGCTAGAAAGCCCTCATGAGACCTGAAGGAACTTAAAGGGCTCATCTATTGCAGGAGGCATCTCGGATGGTGCAGGATCCATCTCTGATGGTGGCTGGTGGGATGGGGGAGTATATCTTCTATGTTCCCTGTGGTTTTGGAGGGCAGCAACACAAGGCAGTGTCTGAAGCTGGCCTTGTGCTGTGCATGTCACATGTTGTGGTCAAGCCCAGCCTCCCTGAACTCAGACCATGCTCAGTGGTGGGGGAATGGGGCGCTGGGAAGCTGAAGCGGGTGCTAGTGCTGAGTGGCCATGCAAATACTTCTCTGCAGCCCATCCTACCTTTGCTGGAGATGCCCACGATGGTGCTGCAGAAGAAGTCACGGTGATCATCAACAACCCCATCTCCCTGGTCTGCGAGGCTCTGGCCTACCCCTCTCCCAACATCACCTGGCTCAAGGATGAGGTTCCCCTCAAAGCCTCTGGAAATATCCTCCTGCTCCCTGGTACCGTGCTGGTGTCCTCTAGCTCTGCGTGACTGTGGTGGCACCTTGCTGCATGCCTGGGGGAGTGGGGCCTGTTCAAGGCAGTGGGATGGTGTGGAGTCATCATCCTAGAGAATCCAAGGGGCTCAGACCATCAGGTGGATGCTGCTCTTCCATGGGCTGCATTATCTGATGTTACCTAGAGGCTCCTCAGCAGCAGCAGTGACACAGTGATGGGTTTTATAAGCCAGGCAGCTGAGCTCTAGAAGAGTATTAGACGCTTTCAAGTCAGGTTTGCAGGTGATCAACAGGTCCTTTAAGATGCCTTCTTGTGCTGCATGGGGGTAGGCAGCTGTGACTGTGAGTGGTGACCCTCTCAGGAGACCCCCTTTGCCCAGGTGGCCACGGGCTGCAGATCCTGAATGCCCAGGAAGATGACGCAGGCATGTACAGCTGCATTGTGGCCAGTGAAGCTGGAGAAGTTGTGAAGAACTACGCTGTGAAGGTCCTGGGTGTGTGTCCTTCCTAATTCCTGCAGTGATCCCACCACCCTAACTGAACCAGAGTCCATCCCTTCCCTTGCTTGCATCCTGAGGAGCTGCACCTCGTGCACATAGATCAGCGTATAGCCCCCAAAAGCCTCTGATCTACCCTGGGGAGAACAAAGGGGTCCATCTGGGGGTTACAACAGCACCCTGAGATGCTGCCCCTTGCTAATCAGGGCAGAGCAAGGGTGCTGGGGTTCTTCCCTCAACCCACATGTGTTGTATCTCCCCACTAGTTCCTCCTTGGATTGCCAGAGATGACCCTTTGGGGGAATTTGCTGTGAAAGAGGTGAAAACCAGGGTCAACAGCACAGTGACTCTGGAGTGTGAGACCTGGGCTGTGCCCGAGCCAACCATCCAGTGGTACAAGGACAAGAAGGTGAGGTGTTAACTGTGACCAGGGAAGTGGTGTTGGTTTAGGGGATCCTCCCAGGTGGATGGAGGTAGAAGATAGCCTTTATATGGCTGGCGGGGTTCTGTCCTACTCCTGGGTGTGTAATTCTCCTCCTACCCTTCTATTTCTTCCATGCCTTGGGGCTGGGGTCCCTATACAGCTCCTGGAAAGCTCCAGCCACCTCCAGATCCTTAGTGAGGGACAGGTTCTTCAAATCCAACCAGCCCGTGTCTCTGATTCGGGGCACTACACCTGCGTGGCCACCAACACCGTGGGTGAAGATGACAGGGACTTCATTGTGCATGTCCAAGGTGAGCCCTGGGAGACCAGCCAGTGCCCAGAGCAGTGTGTCTCTGCAAGAGGAGGGGTCCTTGGTGGGGTCCCTTGTGGGAGCAGAGCAGGGTGAGCAGGAAGGAAGCTTGTATCTGCTGGAGAACAAGCCCTTCCTTGGCCGTGTTCGGGTCTGGGCAGATGCCCAGTCGCAGCTGGGGGTGCGAAACATGGCAGCTTGTCCCCGCAGTGCCACCCCTCTTCCAGCAGCAGATGAGCTCTAATGAAGCCCTCGAGATGTTCTACCGGGAGGAAGACCAGGATGGGGAGGTGACAGAGCACCGGCAAGCTGTCCTCAACCAGCCCACTGCGCTCTACTGCGACACCAACTCCATCCCACCCCCGCAGATCTCTTGGTACAAGGATGGGGAGCCCCTCTCCCCTGGACCAGGGGTGCTGATGCTGCTAGGTAACGGGCATGGACGTTCTCTGTGGGGTTCTGGGGGGATTCCCTGCAGCAGCTTTGTGGGTTGAAATCACCCATAGCATAGAGGAGGTCGGATCCCCTCCCCTTGCTCCTGGCGGCACCCACGGGACCTGCAGGAGCAGGACCGTGCCACCCGCGCTGCGTGAGGGCTCAGGCACAGCGAGGTGGGAGGGAGATGTTGGAGGGGTCGCTCCACCCACCCCGTGGAGCCCTCTCCGTGCGCTGTGCCGCAGGGGGCCGGGTGCTGCAGCTGCCCGTGGTGCGGGAGGAGGATGCGGGCAGGTACACCTGCGAGACACCCGGCGCCGAGGGGCAGGAGCGGCTGCACTACGAGCTGGAGGTGCTCGGTGAGCACGGGGCCGGGGCAGGGAGCGGACAGGGGCGTGTGGCAGCCCCGTAACCCCCCGGTTCCCGCCGCACAATCGTGCCATCCGTGGTGGCTCGGAGAACCTGGCTGAGGAGGGGACGGCCACCGTCAATGGCACCATCTGCTTCAAGTGTGAAGCTGCTGGGCACCCCGTGCCCACAGTGTCGTGGCTCTGGAATGACATCCCTATTGTGGCCGGCCCACGGCACCACCTCCTGGAGGGTGGCATGGTCCTGCAGGTCAGTGTGCTCCCAAGCAGGGTGGCTGCGCTGGGGAGGGGCACAGTAGACATGGGGTGGAGGGGATGGGGAGCCCTCCTCTCCCCAGGGAGGAGGCTGCCCTCATCTTGCCAGGTGCCAAGGTCCCCGTGGGAGCCCCAGCAGCTCCCCAGCTCGGGACAGCCCTCAGCAGGGCTCTGCTCCCCCTTTGCAGGTGACCACAGTGGAGACGGGTGACACTGGCAGCTACACGTGTGTGGCAGAGAACCCAGCCGGGTCAGCAGAGAGGCACTTTGCTCTCACCGTGCAGGGTGAGGCATCCCTGGGTCACTGATCTACCACCCTCCTCCTCTGCCAGCTGGAGTTTCCTCTGGCTCCTGCACCCTTTGGCTCCCTCCATCCCCTTGTGCTTGTCACACTTGCCCCATGTGAGGAGGTTGGGGTGCTGGCACGCTCCCAACAGGCGAGATGCTCAGTTCCTCCTGGGGAGAGCTGGGCCTCCATGGTGACAGTTCTTCTTTGCCACTTGTCTTTGGGGTGTGCTGGAGCAGAATCTTCCTGGACTGTGGGCCCAAACCCCAAAAATGTGGATGGTATCAACAGCAGTATCTCCCTGGTGTGTGACATCCAGTCCCACCCCACGGTGGAGCCCAGCTGGTACAAGGATGGCCACGTCCTGCAGCTCAGTGAGGAGGTGACCAGAACCCCAGGTACGTCAGGATGAGAAAGGGTGACATCCTGTCCCACGGGGCTGGGCACAGCTGCTGGCTCTCGATGGTGGGCTCTAAATCCTTTAATCTGCCCTTCTGGATGCCACCCATGGGACTCAAGGTCATATTTGAAGCCGTACCATGTACTAACAACTTGCTACCAAGTTATCCTCTCTGGGGAGAACCAAGGGTTGCATCCTTCTAACTCTGTGCTGCTGCTCCCCAGGAGCTCAGCACCATTTTCTGCTGTGCACAGCATCCCAAGGGTGTGGGAGGCCAACAGGGTGGCAGGCTGAGCAGAGACATAGACATCAGAAGAAGGTGGGAAGCCAACGGGGTGTGGGTGTCTGAGCACAGTTAGAGGACAAAAGGGGCTTCGACACTCATGTGGAATTGGAGGCCAACAGGGGTTCACAGGCTGAGTAGAAACGTAGACACCAAAAGGGGGTGGGAGGCCAAGGGGGTCTCTATTCTTGCCTCACCTCCAGCCGGACAGGGGTGGCAGCTTCGTCCTGCAGATCCGGGGTACGGGGCAGTCAGGGCTCCAGGGAAACCACGGTGGGGGCACCCGGGCACTGATGCTGCTGGCAGACCACAGATGCTTTGCAGCCCTGTGTCCAGGCAGGGTCCTGAGCCATCCTTGGCTGGGGGCATGGGCTCAGAGAGGATGGAGGAAGGCAGGACCAGCCTGAAAGCAGACTCAGCACACCCTGCCGGGAGGCTGAGCCACCTCTCCGTGCTCACGGGACACCAGGGAACTGCCAAAACCATCCCCAGCGTTTGGGGACCTGACTTGACTCCCACAGCTCCCTAAAGGGAACCCCTCCCTCAACAGTGCCCCCGGTCCTGAACAGCCCAGAGACCAGGGAGGAGCAGATGGTGGCCGTGGGCTCTGATGTCACCTTTACCTGTGAAGCCACTGGGTCCCCAGCCCCCACGGTGACCTGGCTGAAGGATGGCAAGCCCCTGGCACGCCAGGGCAGCTGGGTGCCCAGTGGTCCACAGCTGAGCCTGGTGGCCGTGGGGCCAGCTGACACGGGGCTGTACTCCTGCCTGGTGGCCAATGAGGTGGCAGAGGCCAGCAAAGCCTTCCACCTCCTGGTGACAGGTTCGTGTGTGCCCTCGGGGATTTGGGAAGGGTGGCTTAGACAATTTTTTGGGAGCCATGAAGAGATGAGCCTGTGTGCCTTGCAGAGCCGCCCCGCGTCGAGGCTGCGTCCTACCCCACTGAGATGTCCATCACCGTGGGCACCTCCCTAGAGCTGACATGTGTGGTGACAGGTGTCCCCACACCCACTGTCACCTGGGAGAAGGACGGGCAGCTGCTGGCAGGGCCCTGGCTCACGTCAGGGAATGAGAGCACCCTCCGCATCGAGACCACTGAGGTAGGGGCTCCTCTTTCTTGTCCACACCCAAGTTGTCTTTTTGTGCCTCTGTTTTCCTCATCCTGGTTCTGTGTAGGTGGCTGATGCTGGCTTGTACACCTGCCTGGCCACTAGCCCTGCCGGGGAGGACAGCAGGAGCTTCCACATCAGCATCCAAGGTAGCGTGGCCCCAGCGGGGCAGTAAGGAGGGTGCTAGTAGTGGGTGCTGCAGGGTGGTCAGAGCTCTGGGAGATCAGAGAACCAGAGCATCCCCTGCACCCCTCCCTGGGATTGCTGGGAGGTGTCCCTGCCCGTGGCAGGGAGCTTGAATTAGGTCATCTCTAGGGTCCCTTCCAAACTAAGCCATTTTATGATTCTATGGATGGGGAGAGCAGTGGGGGCTGTAAGCACAGCACGATGGTCCTGTAGAGTAGGGGCCTGTGCGTGACTTATGGGGACAGATATGGCAGTACCCAAGTCATGTAGCATCTCCCAACTCCTCTGACACATGTCCCACAGCACCTCTCAGCATCACGAGTGTTGGAGAGACCCCCAGCATCACCACTGTGGCAGGGGGGCAGCTCATCCTGGAGTGCCCTGGGGATGCCACGCTACCCCCCCGCATAGAGTGGCACTGGGAGGGGTCCCCGCTGCGGGTATGTGTGATGGCACCTGGGGACGGTGCACGGGCAGGGGCTGGGGGGCCCCTTCCCCAGCCCAGTGGGCTCATGGTGGGGGTGATGAGGGGAGAGCTGCTGACGGGGGGTCCTGGGGGCGGTAGGAGGATGCCCGCAGGCGCAGATCGAGGCCGGGGAGGCGCCCGACGGCGGGCACTACAGCTGCAGGGGCACCAGTGCCCGGGGGGGCACCAGCCTGCGTGCCCAGGTGGAGGTTCACGGTGAGTGCCGCCCCACCACGGGGCTTTGCTGGCCGGGAGTGCCGGCGCTCTCCCCATAGTTCAGGGGTGTGCAGCGTTATGGGGTGTCCTGTGGGGGGGGTGCCCAGCCTCCAGGGCTGCTCTGGGCTGACGTTCTCCATCCCCTGAGCCCTGTCTCTGGCTTCCCGCGGTGCCCACTGGGTGCTGCTGCAGTGGCCCCGGAGATCCAGGCGGGCCCCGAGGAGGCGAGGGCACTGCTGAACAGCTCCGTGGTGCTGCCGTGCCAGGCACGGGGCTGGCCCGTGCCCCAGGTGACGTGGTGGAAGGACGGACAGCTCCTGCCCCTTCGTGGGACCAAGAGGTGCGAGGCTCTGTAGGCTGGTGGCACCAAGAGCTGGCTCTTGCTCAGTGCCATCCCCCATGTCAACAGGTGTTTGGGCTTGCCTGGAGCAGACACAGCACTGTCCCCACAAAGAGCTGGGCTCTGTCCCCACACCAGCTCAGTGGACACATGCCATGCATGGCTTCAATGGCACTTGCCACCCCCCCAGCTGCCTGTCCCCGTGTGCTGCAGCCCAGCCAGGCAGAGTACCCACGGGGCTCCCCACCCCTCCCCCCAAAAAATGCTCTCCCTCCCCAGGCTGCAGCTCCTGCCGGGCGGCTCCCTGCAGATCAGCTCTGTTCAGCTCCAGGACTCAGGCTATTACCTCTGCACGGCATCCAGCCCTGCTGGTTCCGACCGGCGAGGCCTGGACCTTCATGTCCTGGGTAAGTGGAAGAGCCAGACAGATCCCTCCTGGGCTCACCCTGCTGCGACCCAGCACCGCCGGACTGCTCTCATCAGTGTAACGATGTGCTGCTGTCCTCTGGTCCTCACCACCATGCCCTTCTGCAGCATCTCCCACCATTGCCCCCGGGCCCTCCAACCTCACCCTGCTGGCTCAGCAGCCAGCCACACTGGGCTGTGACACCTGGGGATCCCCTGAGCCCCATGTCAGGTGGGAGAAGGATGGTCACCCCCTCAACACCCACGTCCCACTTGGCGCCTACAGGTACCCACAACGCCGGCCACCTTCCCCACCGAAGGGTCCCACCATAGGGTGGAGTTTGCCCCGTCTTGCTGCTCCCTTTGGGGCAGGGGCTGACCCCGCTGCACGTTCTGCCTGCCCAGCTTGCAGCCCTCGGGGTCCCTGCTCATCACCAGCCCCGGTCCCTGGGACGAGGGGCAGTTCGAGTGCATCGCCAGCAACGCTGCCGGGGAGGCACGCAAGGTCTTCCTCGTGTCCGTCCACGGTGAGCTCCTGGGGGCTGTGGGTCTGGCCAGGAGGGGCTTTCCCAGCGTTTGTCACATCCTTGGCTGTCATGTGGGTGTGCTTCAGCCCCCTGTGGGGTTGGATCCCCTCTTGAGGACAGGGCATGGGGGCTGGTAAGAGAGGAAACAAAAATACCTGTGCCCACGTGCAGGGAGATGGAAATATCTTCAGCATCCCCATGCAGCCTTCTCTCCCTCCCCCACCTCTCCAGTGCCTCCCACCATTGCTGACGA